AAAAATAAAACTAAGAAAAATGAAAAAATATATATAAATAAAGGTAAATAATGAAATAATACATTTAACGCATTTTTATTGACTAGTTAATAATTTTCATATTTACCTCTGGAAGGAACAATTATTGTCTTATAAGGCAAGTGCGTGGATAAGTGCTCCATTGAATTGAAAAAGCCATGTTGAAATATTCATTCTATAATTTACATACAACATTAATAATGTTTAGTTCAGTCTATAATGAATGTTATCTCATACATGTGGAGCATAACTCTTTAAATAATTGAGTTATTTCTTTTAATGGATTTTAAATTGCTTTTGGTATGATAATAAAAGCATTTGAAAATAAGTGCGTATGAAAATATGTCAGCTGTCTCCTTAATGCCAAATAATTTTTAGTGGCAATTGCATAAAGAGCACTCAAAACATTGCTATTTACAAATCAAGCACCTCTTTCATCGATTTTCACTCAAATATCAAAATTCATGATAAAAACCCAACCCATATTTTATATTTTTATCAAATTCTCAATGTTTTGATAATGACACGTAAATGCATTGGTTTGATAGTTCAAAAAATCACCTAGGTGCTTGACTTGTAAATAACAATGTTTGAGGTGTTTTTTTTGTATGTATTTATCCCTAATTTTTCTGGTCATATTTAGCATCTTAAAGGATTGAACCAGTTCACACTACTATTTAATGTGTATATTTGTTTAGATTTTCGCTTTAAGATCCTTTTATTGCATAATTCAGAGCTCTTAATCTTTTTGTATGCAGTACTTTTTAAGATCTATCATTGTTTTCATGTTGTTCCTGATTCTTCAGTTGATGAATATCTTATTCAAGAAAATTTTCTTATGTGCATCACATCTAGATTATGTAGATTAAGTTTATTGTTGAGTAGGTTAGGCATAAAAAAATATTGCGTTTCATCTGATTATGGTCATTGTCATAATTTGGAAGCCTAGATTTTTCTATATTGATTAGTAATTTTTTGATATCCTACAAATCTTTTGTAATTGTTTTTTCAATATGTTCTAAAAATCATCATTATTTTTTTCTAAGCATAGGGGATCTGCAGTAAGAAAATTCGATGTCAATTAAATCTAGAATTTTTATTGCTATTTTAATGGGAACACTTGATGATTCCAATTAATCAGGGAAGGCTAGTTTTCCTCCAATACTCCTCTCTGATAGCATACCATAAGTTGGAAAATCATTAATTTCCCACAGAAACACTTCCTTTTATTTTAAGTCTCAATTTTTATAAGATGTCATACATATGCATGCATTCTTCTCATAAAATAAAATTTTTCTACTAAAAACTTAAGTAGACATTTATTTTACCATTTGGATTGTTTTGAATTGAAACTATCTCTTTAAGAAGCCTGTATGGAGTTATTATTCACATTTCATGGAGAGATTTAAAGATGTAACTATGGCTTTTCAGCTTGAATATGGTCAAATCAGACTGGATATATGAAGTGAAACTATTTACACATAAGCCAAGTCTAAAACTTTGTGAATTTTTAGCAATTTTTTTTATTTGTGTGATCTAAGTGCATTCGTGCATGGAACATTTGATGCATGACATATGACAGTAGGTTTTTTTTCATAACCTATGCTCAGTTGAGCTTATAAATGCATAGATAAGCAGTATAACCTCTTAAAGAGAATTTCTCTCTGTTTATGCTGTATTTTAGCTTGTAATTTATATGAAGGTGATCCGTAATTACTGCATTCATTCACATTGTTGTCATCATTGTAATACTTATGCATCCATTGGTACAATAGTTAATCTTCTTGCTTGTAAACTTAATCGGGACACTAATTTTATATCTTTGATCTCAATTTCAATACATTACATTCTATTTTAATGCTTTGCATTATGATAGTAACAAATAACACTTAAAGTTACTAATACCCATACAATAACGGTTGTTGAGTAGCTTGCAACATTTATAAAATTGTCTGGTCATATTATGATTAGTTTCTTCAACAGTGTTCAACAAAATATTTAACCAATTTGGAGGCCGGTGAAATTAAATATCATATCGTTGTAGGAAAAAATTGTGACCAGTTGAATCACCATAATGGACATCAGCACAATCTGTTTCATACTCCCTTTGTAATGTCCAAAATTAAGAACTCTTTGAAGTTTTCTATGATATAAATTTCATAGCATTAAAAAAATTTGATTTTTATGCTTAGAATTAAGGCTCTTATATTTTCCTTTGTAAAGGATAGGTGATTTTTACATGCCTCGTAAATTAAAAAATCAAACTATTAAGAAATTCATTTAATCCTAATCCTTTCGGTCTAAGAAGTCCATATTATATCCTAGATTAATCATATCTAATAGTCATGATCTGTGAGTAAAAAATATCTTAAAATGTATATCCTAGATTAATCATATCTAATAGTCATGATCTGTGAGTAAAAAGTATCTTAAAATGTAGCGGTTGAACATTGTTTTATAACCAAACAATTTAAATCCCCAAGAACCCAAATGCTTAAAAGGATCTGTTCGTGAGGCATTCTTCTGTGCTTTCCATACTGATGCAATAAATTAATCAATACTCTTTCATTATTTAAGTTGTGTTAGACTAAAACTTTCCCTTGCAAGATATATCATCTTTATAATTTTTACATGTAGTTCCAACGCACATTTTAGATGAATGAAAAATGAATGAGAAAAATTATTTTGGTAAGGTGTTACAACTTACATCACTCGTGTAATTACTGATTAGAAAATTTGCATTATTGAGCATGAACACAAGCACAAAGTGTGATAAGGAGGCCAAATAATGTCCTGAAATAATTTGGGACCCTGAATCCTAACTACAAATGCATGATCCATTTGCTAATGAAAGTTCATTCTTCGTTTGAAGAAAAACTTCCAAGTCATCGCAATCTTATTCCTTTCATATAATCCTTTTCATCATTTCATGATATACGCAAACACAAAGTGGTTTAAAGTCAAATTTGTAACACCATTGTATAGAGTCTTCAGAACGCCGAGAATTCAGCTAACAGTTGGTTGCCTTAGCATCCTATAAGAAAAAAGAAGAGGGCAGCATGAAACCATGGTAGAAATGCAAGCTTCAAGGCAAGGAGGTAAGAAAGAAAGTTGGAGAACTATACTTTCTTTTAACTACCAAAAGCTCATCTTAAATAGATCTTCAACAGAGCAATGGGACAATGATTGTCACCATACATTCCCAATTGATGATAGCAGGCCTCATGCACCAACTGTGCAATAGCTGGCCCATAGCCAGTTGTGTTCAACTAGTACATACCTAGCTGTAATGACCACCTGCCCTAACCTACTTTCTATTCTTAAGCTTATACTTGTTCAAATGCTTATGACATGAGATATTAACAATCATCATCAGCTGTTTCATTTATTTCTCCAACATAAATAGGCCACAATGTGCTTGAATCATGGAGTGCTAGAATGTCATCTTTGTGTGCCTTCATTGCATGTTGGTATGAATCATGAAGCAGACAAAATAGACCAGGTCCATTGCTCAATTCATCCAATCTCAGATCAATCAACTGAGCGCTTTGGTTTGAGCCAAGGTGCAATCCATGAAGGAATGGGCTCATATGGCAGAATCTTTCACATTCACAAGATCAACTTATGATATCTCAATCCACAACTCCAAGAGATGTGCATGTTGATGTCTTTCTTTATTGATTGTGTGCATGATAATGTATCAAGATGGACCATTAGCCCAAATTTTACCTACACTCAAAGATTGTTACCAGCATGCAACATTGATGTTTTTTTCCCCTTTCTTTGTGTATATTATTGGCGGCGCCCGTTCACATTCAATTAAATACGAATGTCTTAACAACCAGTCTCTTTGTGTCTCTACATATCCATCTTGTCTTGCCTAACTCAACTGCACTCATGAAACTTACTTATTTTATTATCCATGTTTTTCTTTCCGTTGATCTATTATGTTTGGTAGCTAAATAGTCATGCCAGTAACAACAAGATACTAATGTTATCCTCTGGCTTTCTAGTTTAGGTCAAGGGATTATGAAAATTATAACTCCATTTATAATTTAGCTTGACTGAGCTCATAATGGGTTGATGTACCATAGATTTCTCATCATCATTATCAGCCTTAGCCCATTCCCAACAATTTTGTCTATGCTTCATTTCATGGGATTTTTAGCTTCATTTTATTTGTGGAAAAAGATGCTGAAATTATCTGGTTATGCTTTAGTACTTTGTATTATTACCTTTTGCTTTGCATCCTTGAACAATGAATGCTTTTGCACCACCCTTGTTTGTTGCACGTCAAAAACATTGATCAGAATTGGATGAAAATTGCTATGGCCTTGAACAATTTCACTTCCTTCTGACTTGAGTGACGTCCTTTAGCTTTGCTTTGAAGCAATTAGCACTTGCTCTACTCTATGGTGTCCCGTGCTAACAATGATTTTTTGTGCTTGTGCTATGTGTGTGTGTGTGTGTGTATTGCTGCGTCATGCATCAGTGTTATCTAAAGCCATAGCGTTCTTTGTTTTTTATGTTTGAGCTTAGCAACTGATGCACACGTTTTAAGGTAAGATGTTACTGAAGTAATTTCTTTAAATTTTGTGTCATGATTGGAACATTAAGTTGTGCTATGCCTTTTCATCGGCCTATTCCAACAATTTGGGGACGATTTTGTAATCCGTCACTACTTATATCCTGTTATTTGTGAGCAGTATTAATTATATTTTGGACCTATTTTTTTTTGTTTATCCTTTATTAATTAATATTTATTTATTTGTTTTTGTTAAACTGTTCTTATTGGTGCGTCTTCCAATCTCCATTCCATGTGCATAGATTTTCTCTAGATATTGTTCCTGTACATTTCATATTATTACTTATTCCACTCTACTCTTTGATGAAATAGCCATGATTTTCTCCAACAAACTCTTAAGTCTTTTTAGACGCAATAACACAACGAAATAACGGATTATACTTTTTCATTAATTCAGTAGGTTGTATTGCTGATGTGGCTATACATTCGAATGACTTGGAATACAACGAGTCTATTTCAACTGGCGAAATTGTCAGAAAAATTGAGTCTCCTGTGGACAAACTCCCTGCCTTCCGGAGTATCTTAGATCAAAGCAGCGATGCGGAGCATTTGTCTGTGTACATTGGTGACTCAATAGGTGACTTGCTCTGCTTGCTGGAGGCTGACATAGGTATCGTGGTTGGATCAAGTGGGAGCTTGAGGAGGGTGGGGAAGCATTTTGGTATTACATTCATTCCCCTTTTTCAAGGTTTGGTTCAGAAGCAGAGAGAGCTTGGTTCTGATGGCTCATTGGTGTGGAATGCAAAGTCCGGTATTCTGTATACCGTCTCTGGTTGGCCAGAGATACAGGCATTCATTTTGGGGCATGAAGCTTTTTGAAAAGATTGTCGCCTTATACCACCTCGCCATCTGCTATACTAGAGAGTGGCGTATTTTTAAGACAAGCCAAGCGTTGCCGTATTCTATATTTGATCAACCTCCTCAAGGTTGTTTGCCCCATGAGATGAAGCCCTTCTGTGTTTGATCATATTCTTGGGTCATGTCAGGTACATGTTAACTGGGGACATACATAGCAAACAATTGTTATGTATTTTCATATCTCGCACCTAAACTTTCATATTTAAACAAATAGCACTCAAATCTTTAAGATCACTTAAAAAATAGCCAACTCACTTTTTAAAAATGGAATACACATTTTCATGCATAGGTTTAAAACATCAGTGTTATTTATGTAATAAAAGTTCAGGTGTGAGATAAGTAAATGCATAAGAATTGTGTGCCTAGTATGTCAATTTCCCATAATTTTTAGGCTTCTTTTCTCATTATTTCTAACGCGCTCATGCTCCTCGAAACTGATTTTGCTTCACAGGTATCATACCTTAAACCACAGCTATGGTTTCAATCTCTGGGCAGTTTATTTGTGCTGTGAATCATCCAATATTATGGGAAGATTTCTTTGAAGATATAATGATTTTTTTCTTTTTTATTATTGTGAAGATTTATGGGATGAGCTTCGTTTCTAATCGGGGATAGGAAGCTCATTGTACAATGTTTCCTGGTTTGAATTTTCGACCAAACCACCCCTATCAGTGCATGATTATCTGTTTGTTAGTATTTTTTATTTGTGCGTGCTTTCCTGGCAGGCTAGCACGCATGCATTTGCTTTGGCAAAGTGCTTTCTCAGACGTTTTATTCCTGACCGAGTCGGGTGACAATTATATATATTGTCAATTCAGTGAAGTTATTTGTATGCCTTCACTTTTTTTCTACTGCGAGCATAGCTTTAATGCATTATGACTGATCTTTCTTATGTTAGTATATGTTTAAGTCAGGCAATTAGTTGTAATGATGCCAACTGCAAATATTGGGAGAAGGTATTATTTACTAATCCAAATAAACACGGAGTACTAACTGAGCCGAGTTCGAGTTCATCAAAAGCATTGATTCTTACAGTCCTAATTGTTAACTTGCAGCAATTGGATGGCTCGCTCGTACTGCATTAGTGGTAGTAAGAACTTTTTGATCTTGGATGAAACAGACAAGGCTAGTGGACTACCTCTAACCGGTCAGGATCTTGACATCTTGTAAATGTATGCTACATCCTCTTGCTTATCAATAGAATGCATTAACATGCCATATAATAAATGTTTAATTGAAGCTCTCCTCTTTTTTTTATAAATATAGATAATTAAAATTTTTAGAAAATTAAAATATTTGTACCTTGAATGTTACTCTTTTTTTTCCTTTGAATCTTCTGACATATAAGATTTTCTATTAAAAGAAGCTAATCGTCTGATAAATATAAAACTTAACATAATTTTAGACATTTTGACTAGTTTTCATTCACTCTTACTTAACATACCTTTAAAAAAAACATAAAAATAGTGTCCAATAATACATCAAAGAAGATGGCTTGTCCAAGCTTAATGATGCAAAATAAATTTGCTTCTACCTGAGTGTTGAGTTTATCATGAGGATTTCATAAAGCTACAAGTGGCAAAAGACTTCTTGGTAAATAATACCAATGAATTAATACGAGAATGAAGAACAAATCTTTTCTTTTAAGTGGAAAGGTTCTGCTTCCCTTTGTTTGACGTTAGCACTAGTGCAATGAGTTGTTCATAAAAGACTCGCATGTGATCCTCTATAGAGGCTAACAACACCTTCAACTTGGCTACTTCAGCTGGAAGCTCTATTGTGAAAAGGTTTGGCACCTAGTACAAAATTCAAGCATTGCTAGATGAGGGGTACAACAGAATACTTGACCTTGCATGAGAAAGAGAAGTTGGAGGCAACTTGCCCTCCCAGTTGCATTCTGCTTGATTGCTAAGGAGGGCACTCTTGCCAACAATCTCGACAACGTAATCTCTTACATTATTTTTAAATCGCCTCATTAAATTCATCCCTATTATGCTAAGGCAAATATATTAGGAAGATGAAACTATCTACTCAATAGACAATCAAGGTGCTTCTCCACGAGACTGCTGTAATTTCTCTATTCAAATCTGAGAGTCAGACAAAATTTGTGAGATTTGCAGCCTCTTGAGTCTGTTGGCCAATAACCAAAAAACGCACTAAAAGTTATATGCACCATAAGCCCACTTGACATGATCAACATAAGGTTCGTCGAAGCAACCATTTCTAATACAGAAGATCAAGGAACCTCATCTTCCATAGCAAAGTCATTGTTGTTTGTTTCTTCTTATTGAAGTATCAATGAAGTCAACCGACCTCTTCTAAAAATAAAAATGTAGGAAGAAATTTTTTACTCTAATCATGTATTTAATTACATAATCTCATTTTTTGTTTATATATATATATATATATATATATATATATATATGTGTGATCATTAAATATTACTGTAATTGGGAGTTTAACCAATGTCCTTTTTAGGGTGTCATATAATAATATCTTGACCCACTTTTTAGTAAGGCCCATGTTCAACATCTTATTGCTTGGAAGTTTGCGTTTGATGCTTTGGCTTAAACTTTTGTTTGGCAATCTTCACAATCTTTGGAGAAGACTACTCAAAACATTTCTTAATAAATGTTTCAAGCGAATCACACCTAAAACGGGCAATTCAAGATGTCGAAAACTCGCCTATATGCTTTTAATCTCTAGTGGAATATATTCTTGACAATAATAGCAAAGGTCTAATATTCAATCACATTTAGGAAAGTTTGATAAGATGACGTTATAAAAAGTCAAAATCAGACGAGCTGGCTCACAAGGTTATCCGAGACGGGACTAGCTTGAGCTTGGTTTGTTAGCTGATCAAGCTCAGCTCACCAGCCACTTATCAAAGCCGAGCTTCAGTTGACACACAAGTCGACTTGCTCACTTACACCCTAGCATATTCCAAGCCCCAATTTATACAAGTCTAAAGGCATAAAATAATAATGAACTTCAAATTTATGATATATTCAAGGGAAATTTACAAACATAGCACACAATTCTTATGCATTTAATATCTCACGCCTAAACTTTCATATTTACGAATATAGCACTCTGTAGCTTTAAACTTATGCATGAAAAAAATACTTCTCTTTTAAAAAGTGATAATAATATGATTTTTAATGTGATATTAGAGATTTGAGTGCTATGTGTGTAGACATGAAAGTTCAGGTGATTTTGTGATATGTATGTATACGCCCCTATATTTATATATTAGAAGAATATTTCAAAAACCTAGTCCTCAATTAGTTAGGAAACGGAACCAAACTACTCATTCTTCAGCTTGATAAACTTTTTTATGATCATCATCATCTCACTACCTGGAAATCGACCAAGGCATCCTCTAGCTGCTGCAATCTCACTGAACACACTCACAGAATCACCACCAAATGCTGTACATCTTTCACCACTCTTCTCAAGCACTGGAATGTCATTTCTAAGATCTTCACCAGCCTTCACAGATGGAATGGGGAAGGACTCCAGTGGGGTGGACATCACAATAGACTCCCTTCTCGTGCTGATAAAATCTCTCAACTTACATAGCGAAAATGGTACGGGTTCAAAGCTGTGATCGCCGTACTCCACAGGAGTAGAGTGATCCCCAGTAACACACAAGTAATATTCAAAGTTTGAAGATTTCTCAACTTGCCAGAGGAGCTTTGCCAACTGAGAAATTGCTTTGTCCACAGATTCTATGGCGCGGACTTTTAAAATGCTGGCTTTATCATGCCCGGCATCGTCAATTGCCTAAATGAATGCAGACAATGTTATAGTGTCCGAGCAAAAGGTGAGAAAAGTTGCAAGAAAAGTGTCAAGATAGTTCCCTGGCTTTTTGCAGATGGCCATCTCAGTCCCAAAGTCTATAAGAATATCAATTTAGTCCCCAAACTCTTTCAACATGAGTTGAAATAGTCGATAGAAGACAATTTTAGCCCTTATTTAAAGAGTATAAGGACTAATTTGGCATTGTTATAGACTTTGGGACTAAAATGGCCCCATGCAAACAGTTAGGGGACTATTTTGACAATTTAAAATGCTCATTACCTTGATATGAAGGAAGCCAAAGTCATAGCCATCTATTGGTCCTGGTTTATGGTCATCCTCTCCAGGCACAAAAATTGATGGACATGGCTGTAATGGTGCAGAAAGCGCCTTGGCTATTGCAGTAGCTTTAGAAGTTAGCAGTGTTCGGTAATCTCCAGTGGCCCCTGGAGCTTCAAGAATGTCAATACCTAGTGATAGACCCAGTCCTGCTATAATTTTGGTGGGAGCAACCATGCAGGGCCTCAGACCATGTTTTTTCTCGAAGGAATCAACCTAAATGGCACCAGAGAAGTGTTAATTGCATGTTCAGCACCAAAAGCATGCAAATTTTAGAAAATTATACTCAGGTAATGTTTAGACTTGTGTCTTGAACTAGCAAGCTCACTAGTAAGATTGATTATCATTCTTCACTTGTTTGGGCACGACTATCATAATCTCTACAAATAGAACACATTTAAAAAAAAAAAAAAAAAAGAAGGGATCTAATAAAAATTACCTCAATTCGAATTCCACAACCTCTCAAGAGCACAACATTTGCTATGTTCTTCCCTTCTCTTGACCGCTTTGAATTTAAAGGATGAGATACTAAAATTCGTGATATCTCCTTGGAAAGATCATTTATAATAGAAGCTGTGTTTTTCGCTTCTTCAGTATCATCAAGAGCCTCAGCTTTAAGAAGCAAGCGGTTGTCTTTCAATGGGTCGGTTCCAGATATATTTCCACTCAGTTTTGGTCCCTTCACCACAATACCACATCTATGTTCTGTGGCATATCTATTTGTAGAAAAGAGATTAGCATTGAAAACAAACATGAACAATAGATAATATATTAAAATGGCTAACCACCTATTACAATCAAAAGCATATAAATTTTCAAAAGTAACACATAGGCAAACAACAAAGGCTTTTGAACAGCAAAGTGAGCATTTGTTTTATGGATGCCCCCTGTAAGTGCCCACAAATGACCGACTTCAAGAGAATGCTTTATATTTCTTAGGCTGCGAAGAAAAATAGCAAAATTGGCAGGGGTGGAGTGAATTGTGCTGCCCCTCAAAAAATAGAACCTAAGCATTACTCATTCTTACATGCTCTCTTGCTACCTTGTGGATGGCTGCAAAATAGTTTACCTGACTCTAATTTCATATTCAGGATAAGATGGAAGCTTCATTCCATCCAATGCTGCACATAAAATTGGACCATCTTCTTCAAAATGCCGATCAGCCCTTCTATGTGTCACAATTCCAGTATTATGATCCATGGTAGCAAAATTTGACTGAAACAGAAATCACAGGACTGCGTTATATGGTTTATAGTGGCGAAAAAAAATTATAAGATAAATTAAGAACAGTAAATGAACTTTGTCATATAAATACTCCAAAATTGATAAATTAACCCTCAATTTTCAATATTTACAACAACGACCCTAGAATTGAATCAAAATTTGCAATTACTTTTTTGTTAACTCAAAATCTGAAACTAAAGCTGCAGCAATCCCTTCAGCAGTGATCAATATTTAGTCCAACTCTTAGTAAAGATGTTATATCTTTTTATCTTTTCTCCTCAAGAATTCACATACAACCCAACTAGTGTCATAATAAAACTCGAGCGCAGTCATATAGCAGCACCATAGAAAGAGCTACTGGAAGATTTTTTTTTTCGATTCAAGGACAGCTGTATGTTCAATATAAACCATGGATCCCTTCCATTGTTTAAAGAATCATCCAAGGCACACGTATCAATGCATGCCTCAAATTGAGATGCACAGAAAACAAATCGAAGCTTAAGCCCCATTGTTGCCACTGAGGTTCACACTTTTTTATTTGCAGCATATACTTGAAGCGTTATAACCTGAGGTGGCAACTCAACGAATACGTGTTTAAAAAAATTATTACATTTTTATTATAATATAATATTACTATATGACATATCATAAAATACCTAAAACCTAAATATATCTACGTTCAGTTCTATCAATAAGCACGCTCAAATCCTTATGATTTCAATCATAGCTCTGGACTGAGTCTCATACTCTTTGCTCCAACCATATGCGACGGGATGAGATCATGTCGATCTAGACTGTGAGGTCATCTTTGACCATGAGAACTAGCAAGTACAGATTATAGTGAGGATGCACAATCGCGCGAGATCATCTCCGAGACCAAGCGGGAGGACAAGCTTCTAAGGTTTTTTTTTTAATTATTTCTTATTATAAAAATAAGAGCCTTTTTTATTATGCTTGTGGAGTTAATTTGCAGACCTTAAATTGTGTAGAATTTTGAGTATTTTTCAAAGCAAAATTTTGATAGCATCTAAGCTTTTTTTAGGATTATATTAGAGAATCAACTACATTGCATGAAACAAATTTGCTTCTAAAATCCTATAAAAAAAAGATTGTTCTTAGATATAAAAATCAATTAAGTCATAAGAAAAGTGCCTGAAGAAAATAAGAATAAATTTGAGATGGAAGAAATAATCAAGTCATATGAAAGCAATTGATATTTAAAGCATTGTTAAAATATAAATATATATATATATATAGATATACATATTGAGATGGAAAAAATACAATATGGTCATTTATTTGAGTAGAGTGCAAGCGAAAAATTAATTCACTTATATTGCATGGAGTTATCATTGACCTTATTACTTTAAAATATAGAAGTAGAAATAATTAATTTGATATTATAGATGAATTTGTTCTTTGATATATATTCATGAGAAATAAAGAATTTTTATAAATATTGAAGTGTGAAATCTTATTCTTGCTTAAGATTGGACGAAGATCATATTATATAGTCTCCAATATTAAGAAATTGGCAAAAAACAAATATGGAACACGCCTTGTAATCATTATTTGATAACCATGGTTAGTCAATATTGATAAAGATATCATGAAATTTTTTTAAGGGATTGGTAAGAGGCTATTATACGAGCCTCCAGCCACCCCTAATGTGTCTAACAATTCGAGTACCACCTCCTTAAGGCCAACTACGTCAAAGGGGATTCGAACCCCCGAACTGAGGGGCCTTGTACTGTGGATGTCAACCAACAGGCCGGGTATGCGATACAAATGATATCATGACATCTATAACATTATCTGTTAGATTTCAAAATGAGATTAATACTTAAGATTCATTTAATTACCTTGAATTATTTACTTTTAAGAAATTTTTTTCATAATGTTACTAGCATTTTGTTATTTATTAGAATGAGTGGCGGAGCTAGAAAACAGTTCTAGATTGGAAATATAGCAATCACGTTGAAGTGCCACAAGAAGTGGAAAGAAGGGTTATGATTACTCGAAATGTAAATAATGTAACAAGTGAATTACTAGCGGTGTTATAAGGCTAGAGGATCATTTAGCTTGCACGCATCTAAATTTCAAACAATGTGAGAAAGTGTCACATAATGTCAAAAAAAAAGTGCAAATTAATTAAAAAATTACAACATCTAAATAGAAATAACTCAAAAATATATATATAAAAAAGATATGAATAAGAATAGCTCTTCATTGGTTCCCATAAAGATGAGTCCAATATTAAAAGTTATTTTTTATTTTATAATAAAAAAGCTCGAGGAACGAAAAACATGTTTGTTTTGAATTTGAGAATGAAACCCATTCAGTGTAATTAAGAGTCCTACAAGGTTCTTCAAGAATTAATATGCATCACTCAATTAGGAGCTATAGTCAAGGACTAGCTATGTCTCACATGAATGTGCTTTGCAAATGGTTATTGGATGAGTAGGTGAGAATAAGGATAATGATGAATAATGAAGTAAAGCAAATGCGAGCAAAAATATCAAATAGTTGACTAGACATTAGACAAAAGAGCATTTTAAATATATGAAATTATATTTTTAAAATCCGTAGATACAATTGATTTTGTTAAAAATGCACACAACTGCTCTTTAAAATACTAAATGAAATTGTTAAGAAAATAGAAGAGAGCATTATTGTTCAGGAGGTTACAGATAATGCAAGTGTCTATAAGATTGTTGGATGATATTAATAGAGAGGCATTATAAGATTAATGTACTGCACATTAATTTGATGCTTGAGAAGCTAGAACAATTGTGGCACCATAAAAATGCATTGCTCAAAGAAAAATAAGTAAATTTATTTAAAACCATTCCTAGGTATTAGCTTAACTAAAGAGTTGTTATAACATGTGGAGACCTCTTTTTTTGGGGATTTGTGTGTGTGTGTGTGTGTGGTGTTTGTGTGTGGGGAGGGGGGGGGGGGGGGGTTTGTATACATACCGACTAATTTCTATGCATTTACGTATCTAAAGCCTAAACTTTTTTTTTATTATTTATACCACCCAAAATTTTCATTTCACATAAAAATATCACTTATGACTTTTAAAAAGTGAATACACCTTTTCATGCATAAGTAAGATGGTGGCATATATGTAAAAATAAGTCTTAGATATGTAAATACATAAGAATCATGTTGTATGCATGTAAATCTTCCTGTTTTTTAAGCCATGCTAACGAGTAAAGACATAAGTTTATGGATAAAAAAACTTAGACGAAAGCAAGTGTAAAAATTATAATAAAAGATAATTTGTTTACGATAGATTCGTTATGATTTTAAGATCATAGAAACTTCGGTGAAAGTGTTATGAATAATTTTTATGGTAAGAATGCTTCAACTATGGATTCGTCTATAATGCTATAAACAAGAAAAAAGAAAGGCTAAGAGATTGAAAGAACAAGAAGTTGCTTATACCAAAATATGAAAAATTATAGATGAAAAATAGGATCATCAATTATATCAATATTTACATAGCGCTGCATATTATTTGAACCTTTAAAATCATTATGACAAAGACCTCCATGACGATAAAAATTAAGAATGAATATGCATTAAAATATTTTTCTTTGAGGTTGACTATCTTAAACCTAATAATAATGGAACATATTAATTAAGAGCAACTCAATTATGCTACATAATATGCTCTCCTATAAATTTGCATCACTAATAATTTTATATCCAAAAATTTATATTCAAGCTTTCTGCTTTAACATATACGTATAATTTCCTTTTCATTCTATTCTAGAATACAGGTTGTCATAATTTGACAATAATGTGGTTGAACTTGAAAAACTTGTAATGAAGATTCCCAATCTTACTTGTATAGCATCTGCATGTGAATGTAAATGAAGGAATGTTCAACCAAGCACAAAAATAAAGAAATTATTTGCAACAGAATAAATAAACAAATTGGTTTATATAATGTTTAATAAAAATTTGAAAGATGGACACATCAAGTTGAAGACAGAAAGAAACAAATGATAATGGCATGAATCTTTTGGTTAGTGAAAATGCATTATTTAATAACAAACGGATAACGCCAAAAAATAATGAATAATTTGCAGTTGAAGATGAAAGAACAGACTTAAATGGCGATGTATGCTATTGATGAAAGAGCAACAAAATTTTGAGTAGTTTCTACTTCACAGTCAATTAAAAAAAATGCATACTATATGATTAAAGCTTAAAATATTCAAAAGACAACTTAAATATAATTGATTACTTAGCTGTGTTATTGATCTGTTATTTTATATTAAATTATATTAGATTCAACATTAATAGATCTATGGAATAAGAAGAAAAATATAATTATTGAATAAAATCTTGAACATAAAAATGACATAGAATCAGAGGATAATAGAATTATCATATATGATGACTCCACTAAAGATGAAGAAAATGAGCAAAAAGTCGCTATGAATCTTATCCCATGGCGTATTTAAATTGTAAATGAGTGCTTATCTTACATCTCCTTTCAAACATTCATTTTGCATTATTATTTAAGATTGAGATGTGTGGTATGCATCTTTACGATCAACTAAGTAAACATGTCAATGGTTTATGTAATATTTATGAATTATTTTAATTTTATGAGTTTTTACATCATTTTTTAATCGAGTCTTACACCTTGATCAACCTCAAGACTTACCTCTCATTTCACTAAGATAAAAGACTTCCATTCCTAATTTTGGCTTTTTAAAATATTTTTCATTCATAAATTTTAAATTTTTAAGAAACCTATTTATATTCACCTAGCTCCTCTGTTTATGCCACCTAAATAGAAAAAATTATATGCATGAACATCTTCCTAAAGTAGCAATCTTTTCATTGCAGCGAGGAGATTTCCATGTTCTGAATCCACAACCTACAAATAATAAAGGATGCAATCTAGACATTGCTCAGACTGCCCTCATTTATACTCCCTTGCTATGGTCTTATATGTATAAGGGAAACTAATTAAATCCCTAAAGTCCATCACTAATCATAAAATTCATTCTTTTTTAACTTTGATCATGGTACCAGCAATTCGCCAATTCTAAAGCTCAAAAAAGAAACCAAGTAAATTAAACATCAATATAGGATTACAATTGAATGTTGCTTTAATATTTGGGAACCATCGTCGAGCAATCTACAGAATGACAGAGTAACTGATAGCTATTAAGATTTAAGTTTTAATCAAGAAATAGAAATTGTTGACAATCAACTTTAACAATAAATAGTTATCGGGCAGAAAATAGTAAATTAGTTATTGGTGGCAGAAAATAGAATGGGTCCGTAAACAGAATCCTAAATTATCTTCTTGAATGATTGTAACAGCTAGAAATGCAACAGAAATCATATCGGAAGAAATTCGCTTCGAACCTTGAAAGCTATGTCACCCGGCAACATGGCCAATCCAGCACCCATTGACTCAAAAGCACCTCGTCCTCGATAATAAATTCTAGGGTCATATCCCAACAAAGAAAGATGGGCAGTATCACTGCCACAAGCAAAACCAGCCTCTACAGGATCCATAAGCCCATTTACTCCAGCTGAAGCAATTGCATCTAAATTTGGGGTGTTGGCTACTTCTAAGGTGCTTTGAAAATGAAATCCAGGTAAGGATACATCGCCTACTCCATCAATTAACACAAAAGCCACTCTTCTTTTGACGTTCTTTGGCAACTCCATTGTTGTTATTGCTGGAAATATTATAGCTATACAGTCATTGAACCGCAAATAATCAAAGCTCTTCAGTCCTGCAATGAATTAAACAGTAGTAACAGTGTAAAAGTAGTAGTAATTGTGGCTGAAAAATCCCAACAAGAAAGAAACAGTAAAAAAATTTCTCTTTTTTAAAAACAACGATTAAGCATGAACATCTTTAGATGTCAAAAATATCAAAATTAAAATAGTTAAGAGTTAAAGCAATCCACAATGAAAGGAATGGTTGAATATTTAAGAAAAACATTAAAAAAATAAATAATGTAGCATTACCAACAATAGAAAAAATTCAAACTACATCTCCAGAGAGTAAAATGGTGAAATTGATGAATAAATAGCTGAATAAAGATCTTTTTTCTTGTGCTAAACAAGAATCAGTTAGAAGAAATTGCAATAACTGATACATAAAACAAAAAAATGTCAACCCTCTAACAAACCACATTCAACCTTGAGGGACTTTTTGATTCAATGTTATCTAACAAGCAGTGCCATTCAAAATAATTACCTCTAAAATTTAATAAGTTTGATTCGGTGTTATCTTCCTTATCGAACACGTTACATTCTTAGATTGATGTTGTTTGGTTTCATGCACTTGCCGGTAAGATTCTCCTATTTCAAATCAGACAAGATTCTAATCTATTATTTTTGCAGGAGTTCAAATTCCAATTTATTAAATATCAAATCTCTGAGATGCAGCTTTCATACTTCTACAATCAACATCCTTTAGTTAAAACAAAAAATCTCGAAAATATTATTTGACGATAATGAGACAAGTTATAGGAGAACATGCCATGAAATTTATACTCCAAGAACAACATTTCCATCACAAAAGGAGCATCATCTCAAGTAAAGGGCTGAAACTAATAAACTCAGCTGCACATTCTAACCAAATAGGACAATTGGCACATTGCTTTGTTGTAGGAGATTACGCAGACAACATTTTAGTGGACTGAATGATGTGCAAAGGGAGGTAAGGGAATAAATACCATGCGAGATTAATCCATGGTGGTTGCAAACCCCATTAACGTTACCTTCCACGCCTGAAAGAGCAAGCCATGGCTAGTAGGGCAAAGCTTTTGATAGGGCATTAGGATATTATTTAGAACAGCTCAATCTAAGATTATTCAAATTATCTCAAATTGAAATATATTATCACACAAAACATCCTTATTATTATCATTAGGGCTTGGTTGGCATCAATTTCGTTTTTTTATTAATTTTCTAAAAATAAGTTTGTTTATTTGTTTTTTTTACCATTTTATTATTTTTAAAAACAAATTGTTGTTTTTAAAATACAAACTTTAAAGTATTTTGAGTGTTTCAAAAAATAAACAACGCCACTACCAGCCGCCACCAAGCAGAGGTCATCCACGATTCCCACATCTACAAGATATGCTTAACCATGATGTCCTCGCACCAATACTGGAAACCAATACTTTGAGCGTCACTTAGGGCTGTAAATGAACCAATGCACTCAATGAACAACTTGAACTCGACTCGATCATGTTTGTTCACATTAATAAATAAACCAGCTTGAACAATTTTTTAAAACTCGGATCTTAAATGAACTAAACATGAACATAGTTGAACATGTTCATTTATTTCACGAACAAACACATTTGTTGTTCAAGAAGCAACTTGTTAAATACTCGATATGAAGCTTGAATATACTCATATTATATACGATATATTATTTAAATAAAATTTGATTTGCTAGAATTTATTTAATTATAGATTTAATAGTAATATATTATTATATCAATATTATTTTTAGAATAATTCTAAATTCTAAATTTATTTTATTATCAATTATTAACTATTTGAAAATTAACATGATGAAATTCTGAAAGAGAACATCACTTTTGTTCATTCTTTTTATTATGTAATCGGACCGTCTTTGATTTTTCTCAATTATTTCAACAATTGATTAATAATCTCACATTATGAGTTACTTTGTAATACTAGTTTATTTAATTTTTTCTGCTCTTGTTTCAATGTTTTTTTCTCTATATTAGAATTCATTCTTGTGAGAATATACTTATTATAAACACTAGATGACAGCATGTAAATTAGTTTATTTCTTATATCATATAAAATTTATATGATTTATTCAATTGTTTTTTTATTTAGATTTGTAAAATTTATATTTTTTCATATGAAAATATAAATACTCGTTTGAATTTTTAGCTCGTTTATTATCTCGTTAAAATACTAGTTTACTTATAATTAACAAATGAAATACAAATCAAGTTCAAGCATTGAAATTTAAATAAGTCAAGCTTGAACAATCTGTGAAAGCTCGACGCAAGCTCAAACCGAACATGAACAACTTAAAATTGTATCAAGCCAAGTCCAAACTATGATATACACGGCTCGGCATGGCTCGATTACAGCCCTAGCGTCATTTCTAGGAGTTAATCAAATGACCTTCTAGTCTCCAGACCGGCTAACAACTTCCACATGACACTTGAGTACCTTCAGGCCATCCACATGAACCACTTCTTCTATCGATAACAAAAATGCCATGAGTCAAGAGGCTGGCTATAAATTCGTCCACTCTCTGGTGTTTTAAACCATTTTCTAGACACTAATAAGACTTGATCACATGAATAGGTAATAGGAGCCTCCTTTTCTACTTTTCCCTCATCAACCACTATGACTCAGCAGGATGAGCTAGACTTTACTAGTATGATGTGCAATTCATTTTTTTATAATAGATCCCACCTCACCATACCATGGATGGAAGCCACAAAGCACAACCATGTAAATTGTGCCTCCTTGATGGTCCTCCTCTAGTATCTTCTATATTCTTTCACTTCTTTGTTTCATATTTATACAATATCTTCCCCTAAACTTAGACCCACATATTCCTTATCCAAACAAACAATCATTCATAGCATCTCAACTTTCTTCTTCACTTGAGCATAAGAAGTCTCTCGCAGCACATACTTAATCATCGCCTTATCTCCTTCCTCCTTAGGCAAAACCTACTCTCCAATGTAGGTCAAATGGTGCCATCCCAACAACATATCAAATGTAGTGATTCACGTAAATGCTTTCTTTTGATAGATTTGTTCAAGTATCTTATCAATTTCTCTCATATTAGGATGTCATTTTTTATTTGCATCCAATTCATGTTTATCTCTCTTTAATGAATCAATTAAGCTCCTCTAATGACATTCAGAACCCCTGAGCGACAACTTTCTACTACTTCATATATGATCACTACTATTTTCATACTCAAAGTAGCATAGACACCAAACAAAGGTAGACAGCTCTATGCCTTTGCAAGGAGACTTATCATATTTAAAGTACCATATCGGGCAATTATTTGTATGAATTTGCTTTATTTATTATTATCATTTCCTTTATTGTCTTTTCTAGTATATATATAAACACAAATCATTTTACTATGAAAATAATTGGGCAAAGAAGCAATCCTTGTCAATTCTCTCCAAGCTGAGAGAATGTATTATTGCAAGATAAAAAAAGAAAATCAATAATTTGAATCATCTTACATTGCATCAAATAGAAGAAACAGGAATCAAGAGAATTGTGCAAAAAACAGTTGTTAAATATTCCTGAAGATAGATTGATAAGTGAAGTGACAGGAATAAGCAACATACTAATCTATAAAAAGCTAAAAGGAAACTTCAATTGTTTATTCTTTTAATTGATGAGGCAATTAAAAGTTGACCGACTTCTGATCAGTGGCAGCAATGATGGCAATGGCAATGTTCGCAACAACATTAGTGGTAACAACAAAAATGACAAAGGCGGAGACGAGAACGACAATAATGACGAGTAGCCGTTAAGTTTCAGCTGCATTATAAACAGAGAAAAAAAGCAGCACCATAGAGAATGGGGAATAAGACATTTAATTCTTATAAACTAGACATTATGTCCCAATATTTTCTTAAGTAGTTTAATTTGTAATAAATAAAATATTAAAGTTTTAGTTCAGGAAGATCTACATATCTACAGCAGAAATCTATAATATTTACACGTTTAACACCAAAACTATCCTATTTACTTACATAACACCTAAATTTTTCTAGCATAACAAAAATACTTAACTACCAAAATCCCATTAAACTAAGCTTTATTTGCACCACATCTCATTTCTTCCTCTAGGGTAAAAACAAAATCTAAGTGAAGTGTATCTCATTTATTCCTTTGGGGTTTGAAAAGAAAATCAAAGTGAAGTGTGTAGCATAGCTAAAGGAGATAAGTTTATCTCGTGATAATAACCACCACAAGAAAATCAAAGTGAAGTGTGTAGCATAGCTAAAGGAGTAAAGTTTATCTCGTGATAATAACCACCACAAATCCTCCTCGTAGCGAATTCAAGCACAACTTCCTCCGTACACTCCATCCAACTTGCAAAAGGCACAAGCTGTGGTCAATGAGCATAGTGGAGCCCTCCCAATGTTTGGAGGTATGTATCAAGTTCTCAATATTTTCTCAAAGATACTTAAATTGTGTAAATTTGATATGTTTTCTTGGTTTTACTTGTTTTTGAGTGTGTAGCATTATGGGCAATGGGCAAGTTATTTTTTATTGTTATCCTCTTGAGATCAAAATTAAGCATAAAACCTAATAAAAAAAGTTTAACATTTCTTTGAAGATCATTAGAAGAGATTAGCATAGTCAAATCTTGCATGGTTTATGTTGTATGTGCGATACGTAAAAAGTTTATAGAAAATCTAAGTGTTGTTCTGGGAATTAAAAACACTATAACAATTGAAATACACATATCATCATCATCATCATCAAATTTTTCTTTCATTGCTTTCAAGTTGAATTCTTAAAAATTAAGATTATCAGTCATCCAGATTTAAATTTCACTCTTGCTTGCCCACTCATTATCTTTTTTGTTGGAATAGCAGTTCTCATCATTTCTACAGGGGTTTCGATTTGATCTCATCCTGACCTATCGCTGAATACTACTCTAGTAGCTTGCCGTTGATTGATAAATTGCATTCACGTTTTTATGCCACAAGGACTACTCTTTACGGTTATGTTTGGCTATAAGTAGGATAAAACTTTCAAATACAAACTTAATAAAACTTGATAGATCCAACATGGAAATTGTTAAAGCTTCATCAAAATTGCTTTTGAATTTAAGATTTTGGATGAATAAATTACTAAATCCATCAAAACAAGCAAAAAATTAACTAATAAGAAACTGAAATAGAATTTTTCAAACTAGTAAAAGTAGCCAAAATTTTGTTTGGAGCTGAGCATTCTGCCTAAATACTGTGAAAAAGAGGATACCATGCAGCCGCTAATCTCATTTGCTGCGGATATATAACTGACTTCTGATGAGCAAAGCAGCAGCAGCGGCCTCTTGTCCATCGATCTGAGCATAGCAGGGCTGCTAGTTCTCCGCTCTCGAAGATGGCGACAGTTTGGAGTCAAAAGAAAACCTCCGGCGCGGTTGAATATTGCTTCTTTCGTTCTCTCTTCTGCCACAGTGGAGCAGAGACGGCTTCTGCTCCTGCGCGCTCCTCCTCGGCGGAGCCCAGATGGCTTCTGCTATTGGCTTCTCGTCCTCTGTGGCATCTGTTCTCCTATCGTACGCAGCGCTGCCTACGCAAATTTTTCTGAAAAATTAGATCCGGACGGCGCACGGTTATGAGGTGAAAGTTGCATTCGGTGGCTGATTTTTTTTTTTATTTCAAGTTATAGAAAAGCTATGAGCAACTTGCACTTGCACATGAGACGACACATATATCTTTGCATATGTTGTTCATATGAAATAATTTTTCCTTATTCAGGCTATAAATTATTTCGGCTAGAAGTGCGAATTAAGAAAATAAATAAATAAAAGGGACGTTTTTATAGATAAAGTTATCACTCGCCCAAAATATATAATATAATATTTTAATTATGTAAACTGTAAATATGATATTTTAATAATCATTATATTGGAATTACCTACTTAAACTCATTTATGAAGTTTTGAATAAAAGTATTAGATGATTTAAATATTATATTTAAAGTATCGATTGTTAAAATGTTATATTAAATATTTTGGGTGGTACTGGTTGATATGTAAAAATTTTTAAATAAAAATATAATAAAATTGTTTAATGAATATTAAAAGATTTATTTATTAATCACTTTTTTCAGAAATTGAAATTGAATTAATGATTAATATATATAGACAAACAAGCACGTATATGCGGTTAATTTTGATGCACAACTTTTTAAATATTATCTAATCATGATTTTAAGCTTTTAAAATTTTAATAAAATAAAATTTAAATTATATGTCTTTCAATTAATTGCTCATTTTTAACTCATAGATAACTTCCTATTTTTGTCTTAATTGCATCACATATTTTTATTAGAAATATATTTATTTTTTATATATATAATTACTGATTAAATGACAAAGTATAATATACTTTGTTGTTTTGAAAAACATTTGCATGGCATACATGGAAAATGTGTTAACACGAATCTCGGCAATCCAACAACCCAAGTAGAATTGACATGGCGTAGGTGACCCCACCAAAAAAGGACATGGTGGTCCATAAGACTAACCAGCTTATGCTAGTCAGAGATTACCAAGTCGATTTGACAGTGTGCACCCAAATGACTCATCATGATGCCAGATACGACTGAAGGTTCCCTTGAGACCCTGGAGTCACTGGCTTCAACCACCTTTAGCAATGTCTCCTCCCACATAAAGTAACTTACTCGCCATGTTATGGTGACACTCCATCTACCCGATTATCTAGTTTTACTTGGTCGGTGGGATTCTCGTTGTAATGGTTGATGATTGAATCAACACACTCGGCCAACAAATGTCAATGGATCAGATCAATCTCACTAACCATTTTTATAAATTCAATTGGTAACCCATGTCTAAAATATCAATTAGCTGATGGTCTCTATCCATTCAGCTCATCGGCATCATTGACCGCTTTACCTCATCTGCCTCACAGATCGAGCCAAATAGCAACCAAGCATTGGGCCTAGAGGGGTATAATCCTCATAATAACCTATACAAACCCTACTTTAACAGGGGCACAACTGTAACTTAAATTATTGTACCCCCATTATTTATAAATAGGCGATCATTTCATGAATAAGAGATTACATACTTTTCCTCATTTCACTGTTCAGCAGAGCACTCATCTCTCTCTCTCTCTCTCCTGTTTTATGTTTTATTCTTTGGGTGTGATTCACAGAAAAATCTCAGATTCAACAAATAGACAAAAATATTTTTTACTAAAAAAATATGTGAGATTTTCAAAACAAGATCAATTTTACCTATACACTATTTACAACAAAATAATTAAATTAAAAAATATAAATATCATCTAATATGGTACGTTGTTCCCAAAAGGACATGCGTGTCGTTAATTCCTACTAACACTAATAAGAAAGTTGCCCAACAATGTTAATAATATCGACTCTCACCATCGCCAATAAGATTGACATGTGTTATTAATGTTAATGCCAAATTTTGACGTCAAAAAACACTTTCTACAAGTCATTGTCAATAAAATTTCACCCATCTTCAACATTAACACTAACACCCATCGATCCCAGTATAGTCATCCCCAACCATAATAAATGAGTTTGATGTCAATGGATGCCAACAATATTATCACCTCATCAGCACATATGCCATGCACATTGATTATAATTATATTGATGCTTGTGATCACTAATAAAGCTAATGTATGTTATTAATACTAACATCAATGCTCACCGACATCATTAAGTTTCTCACCCATTGTCTTTCATATTAATGGTTTTAAATCATCATTAATAGTGTTAAAGCATGTCGACCATGGTACAATTGTTGTTTGTTAACAAAAATATTGTTGATGCCCTTCATCATGAATAAAGGCAGAATACACCATTGACATTAACACCACCTCCATTGATACCAATGAAATTTATCCTTTGTCGTTGTCAATAATTTTAATGCTCACCATCGCAAATAAACTCAATGCATGTCATTGAAAGTAATATCGATGTCGATATGGACATCACCTACCACTACAAAAGAATGATGATTGTCGTTACCAATTAAACTACTATACATATATACATAAATTTGGATATACATCATCACCGGTAAGGTTATTGATCACCATTAACAGTAATGTTGGTGCTTGCTAACACCAATAAAATCAACAAACACCATTAAGATCAATCATAATTCATTTCACCACTAACCAAGCAAACATATTCTATCAATATTAACCATGATATATGTCATCATAGTCAAGGTAATCACTTATCATCGATGCCAACAAGATTATCGTGCAACCCTAATGCTCACTATCAACAATAATTTTAATAATCATCATTGCCAAGAAAACTGACCTCAAAACCTACTTTTACTAATAAGGATAAAACATATTATTATATGCAATGTTGATGGCTCAAATAGTACTTCACTATTATAAATATTCTTGTACATAATAGTATGGTGTTGTATGTAGGAAGTAATTCCAAATTGATGGCATACACTTGATTTTGTCTTAAAAGATTTTTTATATCAACAACTTATGTATAATAATAAATAAGTTTTCCCTTTTTCTTCTATAAGTTTGTTAGTTTCATAAAAAACATGACAAGGTTATGGGCAGCCGCAATTATAATTTTAAAAATGCAGCATATTGACATGTTTGTTTCTAAATAATTTTTTTTCTCCTGACATCAATTAACGTATTGGTTATTGATATGTCATCAACAAATTTTTATCATCCGTCATGAATCTTGAGGTTTGGCACAGACCTCAGGATGATCTCTTGAGCAAGAAATATTCAAATTTCGATAAAAAATCATTCATAACTTTGATTTCAGTATTGATCAGTTTGACAAGACGGCCCCAATGGTACCAAAATTGGTCCAATCCAAACCAAATCAAGCCTCGATCAAATAATTAAACAAATCTTGAAAGCTTTTTAAGCATATTGAAAGGTCAAACATATGTCGAATATAGTGAGCTTATAGTCGAATCGAGCGTCTCGACAAGACAAATTCAACTAGCACAAGATCACTCAATTTCGACATCGATAATGCACTCAAATGCTTATCAAATGTTGTTTGATCGAGGAAATCTTTTCGGACAGTCTGATCGGAGTGGTTAATATTCCTTCATTAATTGCAGTCGATACTCTATAGATATAGCTCCACCCTCTCATGAAAGGGGGAAGAGAGCTTGATGCCTAAAGAAGACTTAAGTTTGGAGAGGGAGCTGAAGTTGCCTCCTTCTCCTACAACTGCCGACCACCATCGACCATCGTCTAGTCCTTGCAACGAAGCACCATGCGAAGAAATAACTGACATCGCGCAGACACGAAGAACCCGACGAAGCGGGGCATCATCTTGAACACCGGATTGATCTCAAAGACAGTTTAACAATGCACCCCGAAGACGGTGGAATAACACATAAGCTTGTGTAACTTCCGACCCTAACTCATATGACCTATGAACGTCAATATAAATGAGCCGAGCCTGAGGCTGGGCTTGTGTTCGGCTCTTTCGAAATTGGCTCTTGTTTGAAATGGCTCGTGAAAAGTGTGTTCATGTTTGACTCGAATAACATATTCATGTTCGTGTTCGGCTCGAAATTGACTCGTTAAAATATAAAACTATTATAAAAATTAATTTTTAAATAAAATTAAAAAATAATTTATCTATTTTTTATATTTCTAATTTAATTTCAAACCATAAAACATTGATTAACTAAAAAAACTTTCAAGAATAAAGTTCATATAAAATTTTACACAATAAGAATATTAATATTGTTTTTCAAAGTTTTACACAGTAATAACCAATTTATTACAAATTATACAATTTACAAAATAAACATAATCCCTAAACTTTGAACAAGAGTACAAAGCATACAAATAAAATTTCAAATAAAAATCAAAACATAAAAATAATTGTATTAAACATTTCATTTAGAAAATTACATTTACATTTAATACACATATACTTATGACTTACATAAAGCTAAAAAATATAAAAAAAACATTAAATTTAAACTATGACTTTGTATTAATTCCTCGATCTTTATGTTTGATGATCCGATAAGTAGTAATTAGTGAATGATGATGAGACAATGATGACTTGTACATTGAATTTTTAGTTATAATTAGAAAAAAATGACAAATTAGAAATGAAAATAAAAGTTAAGATGTAATTATTAATTGAGGCTCGGACTTATGACCTCCTTTCATTACATTCAAGTAAATCAACTACTCAGTTGCACAATTTATGTGCTACTAAGCATAATAAAATCAAAGTTAATATCAATGCATCAATTTAAATTCCATAGAAACTATTATAACCCTCCAGTATGGTTTGCATAAGTGTTGCCTTCCAAAATGTATAGTAAGAATAATAATCTTAGCAACTTAATTTATTATTATCTTAAAATGGTTGCAAACTTGTATGTCATACCAATAATGAGATTTTATCCATTGTAATCATCATAGCCTCTAATAGCATCTTATGACAACCAATTGAAATTGTCTATCCTTCGCTTTGCGTTTTTTGCTATCTTTGTTTTTTGAAACCCAAATTTCAGCAATGACATTTGAGATAATTTTCTTTATCACAAAGAGAGATTACTAACAGAAGTAGTTGCAATCAAGGCATTCTCTCTGGACCATTCAATCAGAGTGGTTCAAATTTCTTCACTAATTGCAATCAAAACTCTATAAATAAAGCCCCACCCCTCTCACGAGAGGGAAGAGAGAGCTTGAAGCCTGAAGAAGACTAAAGCATGAAGAGAGGGCTAAATTTTCCTCCTACTCCTACAACCGCCAACAACCGTCGACCATCGTTGACCCCTAGTCGTCGACCGTCGCCAGTCACCATCAGTCGTCGTCCACTCCTTGCAAAGAAGCATCGTTCAAAGCAACAACTGATGCCGCAGAGTCATGAAGCAACATGTGGAGCAGCACATCATTTTGAACACAGGTTGACCCCAAAGACGGTGCAACAACGCACATCGCATACCCTCATGTAGCTTTGAATCCGAACCCCATGATGAACATCATTATTACTCACTACCATGGCATATGTGACCAACAATGTGGTCTTCACCTTGTGCAACTCCTGAATCTGGCCCTCACGACCTATGAACATCATTACAACTCGCCACTATGCCCATCATGACCAACTAAGGCCAACGCGGCCCTCAACACGTGGAGCTATCAACTTCAACCCCCTCAACCTATAAATTTCATACTACTCACTACTATGACTGCATGGTCTGCAACTTGTGCAACTCTTACTTCGTCCTCAAAGTCCGATAGGCATCATCATGACCCCCACTGTGATTTATACAACCTACATGGTCACAACTCCCACAACTCTTTACTACGACCTCTATAACCAACTATCGCTTCTGAAGCAACCATCTGCGCCCCACCTGTCCAACATGTGTCATGTTTATTAACTATGAATTCTACAATAAACTGGTGCTACACCTACCATCTACAACACTCAAGACGACTACTACCTTCGTGACAATCAACTATGTCCCTTGCAGCATGTTGTAGCTAAGAACTATGGCCAAATTATAACTTTATATCTGCATCTTCTTTTATTCAGGAGAACAGTGTACCTGTGTACTCTTCATTCATAGTGTATTATTTCAATTGGGCTAGGCCCCCTGGTTTTTTGTTATTTCAAGGGATTTTCACGTAAAAAGTCGAGGTGTCTCCTCCTGCTTACTTATCTTTAATTACTCGAGTATGCTCTGAATTCTCATGCAATTCTAAGATGATAATCTATTACTTTACCACCGTAAATTTTCTAGCACACATTAGTTATATCGAAAGCCAAGCAAGATGTGTGAAACAAATCATGTTGTTGCCTAAAAAAAATGTTCACATTGATGTTTTTAACATGATTATACTTAAACAAGCTATTTCTTTTAACTCCAAATTTAAGGTAACCTCTATCAGAAACAATTTTTTTCAAGCTTCACATATGAAAAAAAAACAATATAAACATTCAATTATATGGAACACGACGTATCCAATTCTTAGTAGGCCTTTTACTTGTGAAATAACATCATTGTCATAACTTTAAAAGAGTTGTAATATTCTAGATTTATACCAACTCTCGTTTATGATTCCAGGTCTACACAAATACATGATAACTATCATGTTCAATTTAAAATAACTACTAATTGAGGTTTTGAGGTTCAATTACTCGACTCCCTGAAGGAGGATGTTGGATGTGAGACCATATTAGCGTAGTATATCTTAGATTCTAGATATAGCCTTAGGGTATGTTTGAGGAGGTTGCGTTTGGGGTGGTGGTGCGATGGTGGTTCAGTGCTACATCACAATTTTTTCTTTTTTGGTAAAATTGTGCTTTGTTTGTTTTTTCAAAAAGATGCAGTTGAAAGAAGCATTTTTTCACTAGACTTAGGTACATGTGGTGGATGCTAGGAAGCTACAGTCAGACTTTTTTTTGAAAAAAGATTATAAAAGCCACCACATCTTTTTGAACATTAGATTTGTCCGCAACAACTTCGTAGCTGCTTCTTCAAACAGTTGCAGCTGCCCTAAACATACCCTTAGTTTTTTTGTAAGAGTGATTATAAAATTATGACAAAAAAAACAACTTTTTAGAAAATTATGACAGGAATGAAATATTTTTTTTAAAAAAATTGGTGATTATACGATATATCTCGTTGTTAAAATCAGTTAACCATAATTTTTGTAGAAAAAAAAGGTGATGACAGTCTGAAGTGCCATGTAGGGAGCGTTTGGCCCACCTTATTTGGGCATTCAACGTTTTTAAAATGTTGAATTGTTGTTTGGTTATCGCGTTGGAATGGAGACTTGGAAATGTGCGCCAATTTTTATTAATGAATCACGACCGCGGGATCGACCTCACGGTCAGTGTTCCATCAGAGCTTATTACTACTGAGCCCCTCGATCTCGTCCCCATTTTTGCCTCTTCGCCCTAGATTTTCGATCGAATTCCCATACCCACGCCTCTCTTGTCTACCCTTCTCCTCTCCCTTCTTCGCCTGTGACCTGGTTATTAGCTCCTGTCTTGGAATTTCTCTCAGAGAATGTTCAACACACAATCACTCTACCTTTCAAGTAGTGAACGGATTAGGTAATCCCTTTTACACCTTATAGTTTCACACGAGTCTTCTTCCATCTAAGGAATTGACTGTATACTTCTATGTTTGTTTTCTTAGATTTTTTTTCCTTTACTGTGAAATTTGTTTCGGTGATTCTTGGTTTTGGTTCCAAAAGAAAAGCTCTGAAGTTTGTTGGTTCAGATTGATGATTTTCTTTTAAACATTGCATGACATGCATGAGTACATGATGAAAATGCTCTTTCCTTTTGTATAACATGTTTCTACTGAATTTTCATGAACCCTAAAGTATGTGCAACTGAAATCTTGGTGTAGTCTTGCTCACCGTGCTTAGAATGGTAAAATATCAGGGGTAATTAGCATTATAAATTTTTTAAGCATTCAAAACCCTTTGAGATTTGCTTTGAGTAATTATTTAAGTAAAGCTTCAAAGAGTATTTTTCAGTGATCATGCTCAATAATACGTTGGCATCATCTTCATTGCCTCTATGAGAAAGCTACCAAAATTTATGCCTTTGAAATGATGTTATTTTGAATGTGTTAAGGTGAAATCATTACATATGTTAAGGTAAAACTATTGAATTAAATTAAAGAAGAGTGTATCTCTTATATTGGCTTCTTTCATGTGATATCTTTCTTTGCTTATTTACTGGTCTGAAAGATTAAAATTATTAACTAAAGCATGTGATTCACATTGGTGTTATGCGTAAATCCTTGTGTTGTCCCTTGGGTGAATTATCAATATGTTTTTTTTTATTATGTATCTTGATACTCACTTTTCAGTGATGTGTATATCATAAATTGTACTATTATGAAGTGACTTTTTTTGTTCGCAACTGTCAAATGTGTAGTCATAACAGTTTTGGTGCAAACAACAACTTTGCGCATTGCCATAATGGTCATTTATCCAGAAAAACTATCAAATGCCCAAAATAAACAACTAAATAGTTTATCTGATAAGGGGCAGAATGATCATTTATCCAGAAACAACCGCAAATCAGTTGTTTTTCAAATACACAAACCGAACAACCAACAACTTATCAGGATAAGCTACTGATCCGCATCTTATCAAAATAAACTGCTTATCTAGATAAGTTGGATAAGCTGCAACAGCCCCAAACAGACCCGTAGTTAGAAAGTTGTCCCAAATATACTATTGGTTTTGCATGATAAGTGGGTCGAGTAGGTTCCCATAGGTGAAACATTTTTTGGTGGCCCATAGGTTATACAATTTGAGACATGCTTTGGGATTTTATATAAGATCATGAACATAACTTCTATAGTCTGCAGAAGTCAGAGTTGAGAGTTACATAGGCTGTGATAATTTTCATAGGCCGACGGTGGTTGACAACTATAAGAGCTGGTGGCGTTTGCTTGACCTTCGGTGTAGAAAATTTGACCTTAGTTCCTTCTTCTCCCAACTCCAACTTCCTATGGTTCAAGATTTAACCTCCTTTCTTTATATAGTCTCGAAAATGCCTCCTTACAAATAAATAAGAAATCATGTCACTTAAAATGCATGTTGCCAAAATAAAACACAAATTTTAAAATACATTATACCTTAATGTAGGGTTGGAAGATTTTTTTACTTAGAAATGTAACGAATTTGTTTGTAGTATAAAACATGAAACTCAAAAGTTGGTAGGTTTTATTACAAAAATGACATGAGTTTGTTTCCTGAACTGCCAATGCTCTTTAAAAAAAGTAACATTATCAACTTTTGTAGCCAAAGACTTTCGAGCTCACTCCAAACAAGTAATTGCTTGAGGTTCACAAATTCTACTCACGCCATCAACCATTTCATCATCAGAAATTAAACACATGTAAAATTTTATAGAGTTCATTTGAAATATTCGCTGGGAGGGGGAGGGGGAGGGGCATCGTGGTTTGGAAAAAAAAGATTTCACCGTTTCTGCAAATCGATAGCAAGATTCCTCTCAATTTTAAAAATTATGTTTTCATTGAACTACAACTCAAGGAATATGAAATAAACGAAAAAAAAAGGAATTACCTATGAGATCACCGAAGAAGCCGAATGAGCTCTTAGGGCAGGAACGCGAGAGGAAGAAGAATTCAAAGCTGTTAGGGTAGGATCGTGAGAGGGCAGAGGTTAATCCTTAAGCAAGTTTGTCGGCCAAAATGGAGAAGAAACGAAAAAAAAGGAATATGCATTTACCTGTGAGATCGCCGAAGAAGCCGAAGGAGCTTAGGGCAGGAAAGCGGGAGGGCAGTAAAGTAATCCGTAAGCAAGAAACAACGGCGTTATTAAGAAGATAAAAATGCCGTTTTTCCGTCACGCCCAAAACGTGCAATTCAAACGATCGGCAACGTTTTCAAAAGGCCGCCCGCGGTTATATGCCGCTCCAAACCGGCCCTTTAAAAATTAGTTAAGAAAAAATAAATATTCAAACAATTTGTCATAAATAATATTAATTTAATTAACGAAAAAAAGTAGAAGAGATGGCGCAACGCGGGCTAGCCGAAGAGGCGACAGGATCGCGACGTTTGAAGTAGAAGAGGCGGTCTTGAGGTGTCGGATACTCTTATCTTTCCCCCTCTTCCGCTTTTGCCTGAAACCCTCTTGGCAAAAGGAGGAGGAGGAGGCCGCGATTGAGGCTTGCAGGCAAAGCATCGGAGGATGTCCATTTGAAAGGCATGGTAGGATTTACTTTTGCTGTTTATATCTGCATACGCTGTTTTGTTTTCTGATTCTTCTTATATTGAGATTTTATCATAAACCCTAGGGTCTGTCCCACAACAGATTCAGACAAGTGTTTAATCTGGATTTAGGCTAAATCATACCAAACGGTCAGGTTGGACAAAATAAAGCCGCGGATTTGATAAAACCGGATTTAACGGATTTCAGCTGTAATACCGGATTTAGTAATCCAGGAAGTACGGGAGGAATAATGGCGCTAACAGGCTTACCTTTCTCAACGGTTTCTGGTAGGAGTAGAGCTGAAGTATGGGAAAGATGGAAGTTTTAGTGGTCTCTGCACGCTGGGATAATGTCGTTGCCTTCCCAACTAGTTTCATTTATTACTGTATCGCGAGGGTTCATTCATGAAGGTGATCGTTTTGCACAAAACTGGAAAGAGGAGGAGGGACATTGGCGAGTGTTTCGAGTAGAGAGGGAAGGGAATTGGAGGATAAAATATTTCAGACGCAGTTTTGTGTCCGTACTCCAATAATATGACGTCATTTGTAAAGTGTTGGGACTCAGTTTCATGAATTAAAAAATGTGAAAAGAATTATTTTTTTGCACAACCTAGACCGAAGACTGTTTTGGTAGTAAACTAGTGGTATTTTGTTGGTATAACTGTGCTATTTTGGTTACATCAAAATGATATTTTGGTGTCATTATGATGGTATTCTGTTATACTAGCAGAATACCACAAGTATACCATTATAATACAAACAAAATACCATTAATATACACTAGAATGCGACGAGAATATCGCAAGAATATCACAAGAATAACACTACAATACAATCAGAATACCACTAGTATATAACCAAAATACCACAAGGATAACAACAAAATAACATAAGTTTATCACCATAGTACCACCAGAATACCACAATAATATTACTAATGTACTACCAGAATATCACAAATATACCACAATAATACTGCTAAAATATCATCGGAATACCACTAGTATACTATCAAAATATTACCTGAATACTACAACAATATCATAATACAACTAAGAACAGAGTTTCGGGTTTGGTTATAAAAGAATATTGGATGGAAGATGATATTGAATCCTATGGGGAGGATATTGCTAGATTTGCTCTTTTTTTGCCTGCTAATCTCATACCACAGCATACCACCAATAATAACAATAAAAAAATCTGCAGTTATAACCCTGTAGAGAAAAAAATATCCTGAAGGAAGATTGCAGGAAGATGCGTGATTTGACCGACTTTCTTCGAAATATTTCGGCTTTGAGTTTTTAGTGTCGTTGTCAGGGATAATCGTTAAAATTTTATAATCGTAGGAGAATTTTAATTGAAATACTCAGAGTCTAAGTTTGAAAATTTTATTATTTTAATCTTTATTTTATTTTTTATTCTATTTGGTTTTTGTGTTATTTTTTTGGAAAAAAGTCAAAATTAAAATAAAACTAAAATAAAAAATATTTCAACACTTTAGAACGACAAACCCATAAAGTTGTTAGTTTATACTTTTTCAGGAGTATGCCAAACCATGATGACCATTTTCCACATGAATTTTGAACACTTTGTTATAGGAAATATGTTTGACGACTCGTATTCTAACACCTACAACTCAAGTTGGTCAACTTAATCAAAATTTAATTGGAATAATAATAACCTAAGTATAGAAAAGCAGTAGCGGTGAAGCCTCCAAATCAATCATGTAGAATATTTGACTAGCCATGATAGTGACTACCCTAAAGAAATAAGAATTTAGATGAATTTACAATAATTCTACCGAATCAATTATAAAGTCAAACTAGAACATTAAAAAACTTTAAAAATCAAATGTGGGCAGTTATTTAGCCAAGTTAACACTAAACCACAAAGGATGTTAGTGGTATTGGATAGCCATGACTTTAAATATAAAGAGTTGGTTCTTGAGGAACATACTGAGTAGGATGATTTTTGTTGGACAATGATTGAGGAAGAATTTTCTCTTCTTTTCAAAGCACCCCTTAACGTTGTTAGTGAGATCATTGAGCCTATAGGACCACCCATAGGAGTGCCCCAAGGAAGTTGGAAGATAGACCTAGACAGGCGAGCAACTCATGTTAGGATTCCTGATAATTTAATAAGATTATATAATTACTCTAATTGAAATGCGAATACTCATTAAAAAGATTGAAATTAATGATCTGATAATCAAGTCTTACACTTTAACAACTTTCACCTGATTTTTAAGTTAACTCAAAATAATTAAAAGGGTGTAATTGAAATTAATATTAGCAGTCAACTAAAAATACTTTAAGCCTTTTAATTTTTTTAACTAATTTATTATAGTATTGAATTTTTGATTGAATTATAATATTTTAGAGTTCACATTAAGAAGAATTGAGAATTATCATTCAGGTGTAATTAGACATTCAAAATTCTTAAAAGAAATATGCTATACCAGATATAATAATTATCAGTGAAACGAATAAATAATAAAAAAAAGCAATGAATTGTGAAAGACTTGATTTAAAAGAAAAAATCTTTTTTGCTATAGTTATGGATGGTCTTACTGGACATTTACAGGAGGATGTACCTTGGTGTATGTATGCTTTTTGCTTATGTATTCTTCTCGTGGATAAGACAAGAGAAAAAACCCAGGAAAAACTTGAATTATGAAGGTCTACATTGGAGTCTAAAGGCCTTCATTTGAGTAGAACTACAATTGAATACATGAAATGTAATTTTAGTAGTAGTAGCTCTAGTGACAAAAGTGTAACTTTGGATGATCAAATTATTAAAAGGTTTGAACGATTTAGATATCTCCGTTCTGTTGTTCAAAACGATGGTGATATTGATGGGGATGTTAATAGTAGAATTCAAGTTGGTTGGTTGAAGTGGAGGAATACTTCGGGCCTTTTGTGTGATAGAAAAGTACCGCTTAGACTGAAAGGAAAAATTTATAAGACGATTGTGAAACCTGCAATGCTCTATGGCGCTGAATGTTGGCTTTTAAAAGAGAAGTATAATAGTTAAGTCTTGCCGAGATGAGAATGATTAGGTGGATGAGTGGCTTTACACTTAAAGACAAAATGCGAAATGAATATATCCGTGATACATGATAGGGTTGGGTTGGTGTAGCTCTTGTGACTGACAAAATTAGAGAAAGTCATTTTAGATGGTTTGGTCACATTAAACGTTGACCATCTGATGATCCGATTAGGAGAGTAAATGTTTTAGATTCGACTTATGTTTAGGAAGGCAGAGGTAGACCTAGGAAGAATTGGGCTTATTGTATAAAAAATGATCTTAATTTATTAGAACTAAATGAAAATATGACACTAAATAGGACGCAATGGAGAAAAATGATTCATCTAGCGGACCCCACGTAGTGGGATTAAGGCTTTGTTATTGTTGTTGTTGTATATATTCTCGTCTTGATATTTATAGCTTTCAAAATGCATTCTCCCCAATTATGCTGAACTACATTGTCAAAATGAACGAATTTTACTTTGAGCTAATTGCTTCTTTGCCATCTCGGGCTATCATGTTGTATCTTGTTTGGCTCACTACATTGTGGTACTAACTATGCGTGCGTTAGTTTAATCAAAGATAATTGTTATCTTGAGGCGAGCATTATTACTTTAACAAACAAAAAGCGAAAATAATCGTACAAGTTACTAATTCAATAAAAAACATGGAACCAACCAAACAAAAATTGATAGATCACATGGAGATTTAGTAATGTTAAACATTGATAACCTTAACATTAAAGCAAAAATATGAACCTAACAGCCCCTTAAAGTACAGCTCAAAATTGAAGTCTTGCTTCTAGACAATTATGAAAGCATTTTCATAGAATTTTCATCTCGTACAAACCTGCAAAAAGGTTTACTGTGCATAATATCTTAATGAAAGTTGTTCACTCCACCTTTTGGTGTTTACACTTTGGAAGAATTTTTTCAGAACCCTTGCATCCTTTGTGGAGTTGCTTTTAGATGGAAGGGTTGATGGCTTTTTACTCTCTCATTAGTAATATTTTTAAGCAACTTTTCTTTACCTCTATGTTTCCTTTTGTTTGTGAACCTTTCGATCTTATATGCTCATTTATTCTTTCTTGAATAGCATCAAAACTTTGGAATAAAAGCAGTGTTATTTGAAGCACCTTTGGAGATCAAAGTAGCGAATAAACAAAATAATGAAGGCAATTTACTATATAGATGAATATACCAGTTTTTATATGGTCTGGCAATAACATTCATGCACTAGAGAGGTTCAATAAATTGATCTACTACTAAAAATCTGCACATATGTACAATTAATTAGGTTCATGAAAAATTTTCAAAAATTCAAATAACGCCACATATCATCATGAAAAGACACCCTAAATTTGTCAAAGCAACTGAATAGGAAAACCTTCTAATTTTCACCAATTGAGGAAGCCTAATGGGAGCAGATCTCTCTAAATAATTAAAGAACATAGAAAGGTTATTAACCTAGTGATCAGAACAATAAATATACGATGATCTTTAAATTCGTACCAGAAGATGCGACTACAGCTTCTCTGCACAATTGTGTGCGATTTTACTTTAACGATGTTGCCTAAAATTGTTCTAGATCCATCCTTTACTTAAATCCAAGACGTCAATGTAATTCTCCTATCAGGTACTATTCCCCTCTAAAAGTGATTATTCTCATTGGCATCCTTAAATTACTTTGATTGAGCATTATTTACATAATATTAACATAAATGCTAGGAAAAAATCGTTTGGCCTATTATGCTTATGTGAACTTGAGCTGTTTGTCACCAAAAATGTTTTTGTTATGCTGTTGTACACATAAGGATTAACCGCTGAATTACAAATATATTCTTTCATGAATAGCCTAAAACCTGTTTGGACTCTTAAGCTAATGGCAAGTGAGCTAATTGTCAACAAAAAATTTCAGTTATGCTGTTGTAAAAGATTCAAGTTTCTTTGGAGACTGTTGAAAGACCAATCCTATGAAGGAAATTCCATCTTTGTTCTCTTTGTGTGTGAAGACAATCACATGGAATCTCATGCATGGTATGTCAGGCAATAATATTTTTAAGGGATACTCCCTGGTTCTGAGGGCTTTTCCATTTTTTATTTTTGAATTGAATGCTACTTATAATTTTTTTTGCCTTTATGTTGAATATAAGGGTTTGGGCAATTACAAGACCTCTTTGAACTTCCATCAATATTTCTTGATGAATTATTGACGGTCCTTCCCCCATTGGCTTTGCAAAATATTCATGAGCTGTTAGTAAGTTTTCACCTGCATCTTTTCTTTTTAATAAAATTATTTTTTTGATACTGTTATTTTAATTTTTTGTTTGTTGAAGTTCCAAGGGTTAAGAATTGCCTCGGTTGATGAATTCTATTGTCAGTATGCTGCTTTACAATGCTGTGGATGATTGATGGTTCTTTGAATAGCAAAGTGGCAAAATAGTCTCTTGAGTTTTTGCAGGGGGTTATTTTAGTCCTAAGAGTCAATAGAAGTGTTAGTTTAGGCCTCATTCTTTTTAATATGTGCTGAAATAGTTCTAACACAGGACTATTTCAGCCCCAATGAAAAGAGTCAGGGGACTAAATTTGACACATTTATAAACTTTGGGACTAAAATGAGCGCATGTAAACAATGAGAGGACAATTTTGACACTTTACCTGTTCTTTAAATAATCAATGCATTGAACATTTTTCATTTCTGCATTCATAGGACAGATCAATTGGCAGCACTACCAAGGAAGCATCCATAGTCAACAGGATCAATATTAGAAGGAAACGTGGGAGGTGATGAGAAAATTCATATTTTGGCTTCATGGTAACATTTGCTATTTAGAAATAAAATACTCAATGCTTATTAAGTTTCAGGTACAATGAATTAAATACAGCATGGGAGGCTTTGTATAAGAAGCGTTGGCCTGGAAGTACTAAGAAAAAACAGCAGTCTAGTTGCACAATGGCATATCATGGCATGAAATCACATGAATCAACTGCTCCTGTTATTGACTGGCAGCAGCTTTACTGGGAGAGGCATCTACAGGAGTACGTTATTTTATTTGAATGGGATCAGAATTATACTGCTTCTTAGAATGGATCTCATTAATGCTAATGTGGTTCGTTTTAATTGTATGATAAAAAGCTGCTTGGATGCAGTTACTGAGCAAGCCTTACTTCCTGCATTTGACGGTAATATTGCTAAACTGGAGATACCAGGTAAGCATCAATTTCAATTTGTTCGGTAAGTGAATTAGTTTCGTACATTTAATGTACTTTTGCATTGAGTTTCTGTTAATTTTGCTTGTTCCCAAATTACTGTATTTCAGTTTGGTGAAGGGTAATGAAATAATTCATATATATGAGTTTATTTGGCATTATAACTTACATATCTGCTTTGTGAACAGGTATTGCTGTTTCCTTTTGGTGTTTGACATTTTCTTTATTAGCAATAACTATTTGCTTGGATAATAGTGAATTGATTTGGTTTCATTTTGCATCTATGCTTGTCATTTATGCATTTTGCGGACAACAGGACTAGGACAATTTGCGATATTTTAATCCAAAAAATGAAGAGTTAAGTTTGAAGAAGAAATGTGAAGCTAGATCTTTTGGTCTACCTGAGATATTAATTGAGATCCCGAGAGTTACGTAAGATACTAAAATAATTTTATTAATATTTTTAGCTCACAATGTAATTTAATTGGAAATATTAATCTAGAGTGAAATGATTAAGATTAATAATATCAGTTACACCACACAAGTTTATAAAGTTATTTCTTGCAAATACGAAGGCACAAGTGTCCAAAATAAATTATGATGATTACATAAGAGAACTATGCACATAAGAGATTAATACATGAGTTAAAAAAATCACCATATAAACATGAAGGCGTATATTTGCTAAATAAAATAAATGTGCAAGCAAATAAATTCAACGGTACAGTAATTGGACATGGTTTATATTTATGTGGTTTGGCCGCTCCTTGATCTACGTTTTTGCCTCTCCTAATTTGATATTAAAAGTACCACTAAATCTTACTACCATAAACTGCTCTTCTTTACTTCACGAGCAGGTGGAACAAATATCTGATGCCAATTTCCTTCTGAAAGGATAATGGAGACACTACTTGTACTTCCACTTGAAAGCAAGAAGCTGTGATATACAATTGATCCCAATTTGGTCCTTCAACCATACAAGCTCGATACTAGTTAGTCTCCAAGGGATAGATCATTTTAGATCAATTTTGTATATCGAGGGACTAGATTGGAGAAGTGTGATATTCTCAAACTAATTGGTCATATAAAAATAATTGAGGGTTCATTTTGGGATTTAACTTCATTTAAAATATTTTTAGGCAAATCATATGGTAATTTTAAGTCGATAGTAATATTTAATCATTCAAAATATTATGGATTGTATTATAGATTTTTCAAAACACACTTCAAAGAATATGACATCTAATAGTTAATACGTTAGATGCAACTTGTTAAATGCCTTGTATATTAAAAATATGTATAACATTTAATTGGCATTAAGTGCTATAATAAAATGCTGGTTGATTTAAGGATGATATTCAATTAGAAATATATATATATATATA